CATCCCAGCCGCCCCCGAAGGGCGGGCCCTGCAGCCGCACACGCTTTCCAGTGCTTGCTAAAGCAGATGTGTGGCAATCCAGAGGTGGAATAAACCAGCATCAGCCAAGTAGCTCTTCACATCTCGGGGAGGGGGGGAGGGGGTTGGAGAGAGACACACAGCGGCAGCTATTGTTTGACTGCGCAGAGTGACCCACTTCAAAATGCAAATTCGACAGGATCCAGAGCGGGCCACGCTTCACCCAATTAACCCCAGCCGGCTTTTTCCTGAGACAGCTGGGGGTGCAAGCTGTCCGAGGTGAGCTCGCCTTCATCCCACCCTGAAGGAGAACCTTCTTGTTTCCCCCAGTTGCTTAACCTCAGTTGCATCTGGTTCACGTTGCCATACTTATTTGTGGCCTGCCTGTCCCATTTCAAGTAAGCGGAGTGCCACCCTGCTGGAGAATCCAGCTGCGGGCAGCCTGAAACAAGCAGACCAGCCGCTAGATCTTGTGGAAAGGGAAAGGATCTTGGAGACCACACCATAGGTGGAAGGGGAACTGCTGGACCCAGCAAGAAGGAGCCATTTCTCCGCTTGCCCCCCCCCCCACCTCTACCGGCACGCCTGGCCACTTGAGAGGTGCTGCTCGGCTGGGAACAGACCCCTTGGTACTGTGGAAGTGGAGGGAGATCTGGCTCGTGCCAGCCATGGATTTGGTCAGAGCTGGGCCGGTTTCTAGTCCGAAGGGCTTCCAACGGAAATGGCCTGTGGTAGAAAAGGCAAAGGTGGATGGGAGAAAGCAGAGAATTCCTCGGCTTGGGGTGGGGAAGAGGGAAGAGGGAAGAGCAGCTCCTGATGTTTTTGAGCGAGAGAGTGAGGACAGACACCAGGCGTTCCATCAACCAGCAACAAAGCTGCTTTAGCTGCCGAGTGCAAACCATCAGGAAAACAGAGGAACGATTCCAGCGTCCTCTAACCGAGGTCCGAGGGCTGGATTTGCTCTCCATCTGGATTTGCTCTCCGTTCACTTCCACTACATTTGGAAGCCGCCGCGGGGCGTCCCTCCCTATCTCCCACCCCAGTAGCTGTCCTCTTCCCACCCCAGCCTTAGTTTGTGCACATCAGCCATGTGAAGAGGTGCTACAGGGGCTCCGAGGCAAACCCAGTCTCGTCAGGAACCTTGAATAACGCGTACAACTAGAGCCTTCACCCTCCTTTGTGGACAGATCAAGGAAGCTTTTAGCTGACTCCCCGTTAGCAAGGTGGATACTTGGGCACATCACCTTCTTTAAAAGAAGCTCCGGTGCTTAGTTCCTGGTGCATTTCCGTAAGGAACGGCCCCCCAGGAGGCGCGGGTACTAAAGAGGATGCGATAGGCAGACTACCCAAAGAGGTAGGTTGAGATGGAGGTAGTGCAATTCAAAAGTGGCTGGCTCAGGAGAGCAGCGCGTGGCTCGAGTGGGCCAGGGGACCTGTGGACCTGTGGGGACTTAGCAGGGCAACGTTCAAGGGGGTCAACAGTCTGTTTCCTAGCAGCGCGCACGAGGGAATGCACAAATAGCCACATTCGGTGTCCAACAGTGGAACCGCGGCCCGAGGGGGCGAGCGGGGCAGCCTCGCGCCCGCCGCGCGGCAGCCTTAACTTCCTTGGCCGGGACGCCTCCGGGCAGGGGCCGCTTTGCTTCTCCCCAGCGGTCAATCCAGGCTCGACTTGCCAGGCTCTCGGCCCCTCCCTCCCGCCTGCCTCCCGCTGCCCCCTGGACGATTCGGAGGAGGCTCCGAAAGAGTTTTGGAGCCCCGGCCCAGGTCTGCGGAGGAGACGAGCATTCCGTACGCGCCTACTCACCAGGGCCAGGTTTCGCCCGCGAGGCGTTAATCGGATGCCGCAGGTGGAGAGGGCAGGGGGGAAGATGCCTTGTTGCGAGGGGAAAAGCCGGGGCTCCCCTCTGCGGTGCGGTGGCCTCCCGCTCGCCCTCTGGCTCTTTTGCTGGCCTCGGCCAGGTGCACCACAGGCAGGGCTGGGAGGACAGGCGGGCATCCTCAGGATCCTAAAGTCTGCCTAGTTTAGGTGCCCCACCACCACCACGAACACACCTCCTGTGCATAACATCTCGGGCATCACTGGAGCCACCAAGGCTAAGAAGGGTGAATGGGCGATGGAGCTGCTCCCGCTGCTGGTTTTCGAGCTTCCTGGGCGGTCAAAGTCTACTCGCCCAAAAGCGCTGGTGGGTAAAGGCAAAACGTGAAAGGAAGCTGCTGCAGAATCTGACCGATGCTGCACGAGTGGAATCGTCATTTTTCCAGCTGCCTGGAAAAATTGGCATGCCGGTTGGGTCCGGTGGTTAAAGGCGCTGGACTGGAAGCTGGGAGGGAGGCACTGAGGTCCTGCGTGACTTTGGACTCTCCCCCCCTCAGCCCTCACTAGAAGGCGAACCATCGAGGAAAGAGGTTGCTGAAGACTTAGTTGAAAATGCAGAAATCAACAAAAGTTCACAGTATTACGACAGCTGGGGGAGGTAGGCCAGCTACCTGGGGGAGGGGTGGGGTTGGGCATAGTTGGCCAGCCCCAGCACCTCTAAAATTGCAGGGATCTTCAAAAGTGCCTTAGCCAAATTATATATAATTGTGAAGGAAGGAAGGAAGGGAGGGAGGGAGGGAGGGGGGGAAGAAAGAAAGAAAGAAAGAAAGAAAGAAAG